TCAAGAAAAACAACCATTGTTGGTTGCTGGAAGCAGTGTCGCTGTTCCAGAATCTGTCGGAGGGTGAAGATATGATCGATGCAACCTCTTGCAGGACGGAACCCAGCTTGGTTTTCACGCATCTGCCTCTCCCTGTGTTCAGTCAATCTTCGGAAGATAAGGCCATAGAGCACTACGGTGGTTTTCACATAGCGTCCGTGTACCCTTTTTGAAGACAGGGATAACTATCGACATGCTCCATTCTGCAGGCACTTTCTCATCGTCCCATATAGCACCAATAAGCTTTGTCAGGTGGGTCACCAGGGATTTTCCGCCGTCTTTGAAGGGGGCTAGATACAGACCGTCCGTTCCTGGTGCCTTCTCAAGTTTTAGTAGAGCTATCCCGTACCTTATTTCGTCTTCCGTCGGGCGATCGAGGTTTATATTCCATTCGCCCGGATGCATTATTTTCACAGGCTCTGTTGCAGGAGGCCAGCTGAGCTGTTCTCCGAAGTGTTAGGCCCATCTTTCCAGTCGACATTTTTGCGATTGAATTAATCAGGTTTCTTTTTCACTTATCGTTTCGCTGACCGTTGCTTTCCTAGGGCCAGTTGATCGCATCAGTTGATATAGGGCACGGCAGTTTCTCGTAGCCATCTCTCGAGCTTTCGATGTCCACCAGAGCTCTCGGTCTTTTCTTAGACTCTTCACTATTTGGCGTTTGACGGATTTGCGTGCGCCGTCGAACACGTTGCCTTCTGGTATGGCTTTCCTGGCAGCAATCATGGATAGCGACCTCGACGACCTCCAGTGGTCTTGTGTTCGAATCGGAGAAGTCGGGCAGGCAGCACTGAACGCCGCTAACGTAGCTCTTTTCACATTTCGCCACGCTTCATCCACATGCTCGCTGCCATCACAGTACTGTGGCAGAGCTGTGGGGAGTTGTTGGGCTCAGATCGATACTGTTGAACTATGGCAGTTCTTCGAAGCTGGTAGATTGGCATGTTTCTTGCCGACTTGCGAGGGCCTGAAGGGAGACGAACTGTCAGTGGAAGAATGTAGGGTTTTCTTTGGAGACCCTGCCCGAACCCGACGACTCAACAGTCTGACCAGCTCGGCTGCAGGGGTTGGACCAACCCGAGGGCGCAGGTAATAAGGCTTTACTGTCTCATTCCTAATGCAGCTGCGCACAGCAGGTGCCTTTTGATCAGCACCGGGCTGTTAGGTTTTAAAAGTATCTCAATCGTATTGGATAATTCGCCTGCGGTCACAGTCAACCGTTGGGCGATCGGAGTGTGCGGTTTTTGAGGTCAACCTTTTCTAACCCGTCCTTCCTCGGGGGAAGGCAGCACACGCTGCTTCCATTAATATGCACATGCTGGTCACTTGGGGGAAACGCCTTACTGCCTTCACACTCCTGTCTCAAAGGACAGTACGACTTTACCCCCAGACCGCCTTGTAGCACGATTACTCGTAGTGCGGGGTCTCGCTGCTCTTGGTCTGGCTGCTCCTCTCTGGCCTTCCTGGCATGGTTGCACCTTGTGGAACGAAGTTCCTGACTGTGTAGCTCGCGGGATCGTTGCAGCACACAAGCTTGACGACCACGTCAAGGTGGCAGCTTTAGGTCTGAATAATATAACGAATATTGGTGCAGCTCGCTTCGGGGTCTGATCGGTTAACTGAATGGTAAACCTGTGAAGTACGATGTTCGGGTCAGAACCCAAAACGACGACGAATTCTATAGAACAGTCAATCAACATGACTGTTACAACAAAGGGTCGATTGTGTCACTGGTGATGCAGTAATAATAAAACTGAATAAATGGCGTCACCCTTATGACTATGCTGCGTGATATTAATTACCCAGGATAAACAAACGCATGAATGCAACCTTTTTACAAAGGGTTTTTGTGATATGCTGTCTTTCAACACTACAAGGGCGAAGTTGTCTGTATTTAACAGTTTGAGCCAGTCTGTCAGCCTCTTGCAGTTTTTTCCGCATAGACATTACCACTATAGTTGATTGCCGCTCTACTCTACAGGGTAAGTAAGGCAACAGAGCTTATGGTACTCGCGACAAGATGTGGTACGACAGTATTTTTTTCGCTCATAGTTGTACATAGGCCAGGATACTCTACATCGCCCAGACCTGTGCAAGAGTATAACCAGGCATCATCGTCATTGACACCATGACATCAGTGTTCAAACGATGCTTCCCAGACCTGTGCAAGAGTATAACCAGGCATCATCGTTATTGACACCATGACATCAGTGTTCAACACGATGCTTCGCTGCCACACAATCATGGTTTATTTGAAAGCCTTGTCAAGAAAAGAATAAGGGTGGATTGGCAAGGGACTGACTGCCTGTGTCATTCCGAGGTGCCTACACCTTCACTCATTCAAGCCATCTGGGTGGAAACTGACAACAGGAACGCCATGGACATTTATTAGCAGCAATATTTTGCAGCGTCCCCAACCAGTCGCAGTGAGGATCACGCGGTCCCCATCCTGGAAGGCGAGTAGCACCGTCACCACCCAAACCTTTCGCAGTGTCCTTCATACCTCTCTACCACCTCAAGTTTTGGCCACCTATCTGCTCTTGCCACTCTGAATTGGCCGGGGAGAACACCACTCTCCTCGGGAAACGATGGTTCGGCATAAGCAATACATGGCCTAACCTACGCAGCTTCTGGTGTTAGACACATTTTTTGATGGAAGAATCCTAAGTACAACCGAAAACTCGGTTTCTAATTGCCTCGTTCACCATTATCCGTACGTGCCGGGTCCACTCCATGCCGACCTCCTTATTGAGTCTCAGACACGCTAAGCCCACATATGCATTCATATCACCATGATAAATGAGCTTTCAACTCGCCGCAAGAAGACGCCTTAAAACCTGACTTTGACAGCGCGGGAGCTACAGCCGGTTGGGGCGTAAACAGACATCGATTAACCTCCCACTTTTGAGACTCCTTTACAGACACTGCCAGACGAACCGCAAAGAGGCGATTATCAACGAGTATCCAGTTGAGCAACCAAACCCTGCACACCTATTGGCAATGGCCTCAGTGGTGCGTAGCCGGAAGCGAATTGGTAGTGATTGGGCGATCAGCTCAACTGCTTACACCACACCCCCAATTCTTGTTTCCGATACACAGCACACATCAATGCCAAGAGAGTCCAGTGGGAAAGCAAGAGCAGCCTGTTGACATGCTCGCTTCAGAGTGCGGATATTGAATGCAGCCAGGTAGACTGGGCGTCGAGGCTTGAAGACTGATTTCGAGATACCTGAGGATGTCGGCACTGGCTGACGCGCATATCTTGCTTGCAAAACCGGTGAAGAACGAACGGAGTTATCAGTCCTAAGTGTTGAGGCTACAAGAGGAGAGTTATTATTGGGATAGGGAGAGTGCGAAGAAAAGATATGTGAAATGGAAGGAAGGGAGAAGTTAGCAGTAGCATGTTTTTGCTTACCCGCCTTGCTGTATGAAGCAACCAATGTGACCTGGTTGATGGCATCACGAGACGGCTGTTGTGTTATGAGTTTATTTGAATATGCGCAATTCATGCTTGTACCTGGGCTGGGATACTACCAGCCCACACCTAGACAGGAGGACGATTAAGGTCTCCAACCATAGCATTTGGCTGAAAAGCCTGATCGCATGGTAGCGTTAAATGGAAGCGCACTACCATTTCCACGAAAAAGTCGCCACATGTTCCAACCCCCAGATTGGAGGGCCAGGAGACTGCGTTTGTCAGGCTAACTATTGACCTGCGAGTGTCGCGGGACACCCTCCAGTATAGCTCAATTGGTCGCTGAGGTGCACAAACCGTCACACCACGGTAAGCTTCAGTCCCTTCGTGACAGCAGCGAATGCACGTCTGTATTATAGCGTGTAGACACAGTGGACAAATTAACGACGACGAGCATGCATGCTTAACCCCAGTCGAATTGCCAAATAAGGTTATTAGCGTTGCTGTTTGTGGCACTGTGGACCAGCCGTATACTGTGATTTGTTAGAGTTCAAGCAGATCCAGTAACTCAGTGCACCGATAAAATATCCCATCGTTTTCAAACGATTGTCCGCCGATTTTTCCGACTTCAAAAACCACCATGTTGATCGACTGTATGAAATCTGTGGCTTGAGTTCGCTTCCATGTCTGTTCACCTAGCTCCATATTATTGTTGTTCTGATAATTTGTAAGAGGCTACGCAAGTTGTGTATAAACGAAAGCCCTTGCTCGGACCATTCCCACAAACGTTTCTTGGGTCAGATTTTATCTCACATTAGGTGTTATCTTTCTAAGAGGACCAGTATACCTTTTGAAAAAGGTCGCAATATTTGTTTAACGTTGACTCCTATGTATCAAATAAACTTTGCTTTTCCAAATGTCGGTATAGTAATTTAATTAGTTATTTATCTGTTGAACGATGCGACAAATGTATCCATGCAGAAATTCTTAGTGGTGAATGACAACAGTCGGACAACAGAATAACTACGCTTCTCCGAGGCAAGTCAAAATTAGGTTCACCTCATCATCATCGTCGCCATCAGCATCAGCATCATCATCGTCGTCGTCAGTTTCGTCACAAGCATCGACAGCATAACATCATTGTTCAACGCCGATGCTTCGCTGATGTACAACCATGATCTATTTGAAAGCCTTATTGTAAAGAAAAAAAGAGGTGTATGGGGATGGGATTTAACACAGATGCCTACACATCTAGACACTCATTCAGGTCATCTGGATAGACACTTGGAATACCTTTATTGGTAGGCACGTCTTACATCGTCCCTCGCTGGGGGATCACGCGAACCCCATCCTGGAAGGTGAGTTGCAACCACAGCACCCAGACGTTTGGTAACCTCTTATACCCGTTTACCACAGCTTTTCGTACTGAATACATTCCTCGATGGAAGTCCCCGTTGCACAGCCGAACGCTTGTCTTCTAATTATCTCATTGCAACTTCGCCGGCACCAACCAGCACGAGCTATGGTCCTGAGACAGTGGTTGCCGAAGGCCTGGAGGCATCCCACTTCTGCTGCTCGAAGAGTGCATGTGTCACAGCCATACAGCAAAGTAGCACGTGCTGTATAGCTTGATAGACACGTTCCATGAGGTTTAAGGATATAGTGCTTTGCCGCCATATGTGTCTCAAACTAGCAAGCGCGACGGGGATTTGTGTATTCGTGCATTGACCTAATCTGTCACGCTATAATCGGAGTCAATACGACTTCCAAGGTACATAAAACGCCCCATGAATTCGGGCGTCTCCTTGGATTGTGAGTAGCGTGTTCAGTGATTGCATGTCCATGAGCATGACCTTACACTTTGTGAGTGCAAAACTCATGCCGAAGGACGGGATGACTTTGAACAGTTCAACGAAGAACGCATGTGTCTTCTTTTCGAACACGGGTATCATATCGTCTGCATGCTGCAGATCAACAAGTCTTTCGTCAGTAGCTATTTGAACGCTAGTGTTTTGAAGTCCCATGGTGAGCCTCATCATCTCGTTCACCACAAAATTGGATAGGATTGGAGAGAATGGGCATCATTTTCGGAAGTCACTTTGTGTACGAAGTTTTCTGGAAATCCTCACGTGTATTCTCACGCCCAGGATTCTGAGAATACGAAGAACGTATTATGCTCGCGAACTTTCGAATCATTCTTTGCTGGGTAAACGCGTTGAGTGAAACAAATTGGTCAATTGAGTCGAATTCGTCTTGTAAACCCATGGACACTAAAATTGTGGGTCGTTGATATGTATTGCGTATACGTATTCGTGATACGTATGGTGTTGTTCTATCACGTGACGGTTAACGCAACTCCTACCAGGCCCGTATTCCGCTTGTTGCTCTCGAGTCATTTTCACGAGCCACCGTAGGGCGGTAAATTGTGACTCCGATTCGTTAGTTACGATTGGGTCAAGCTGATTGCTCTGTGATTATTGCACCGCCGGCCCTTTTTTGAAAATGGGCGCTACCACTGGTTCGAGTTGTCTGCCGATAGTCTCGTTACGATTGGGTCAAGCTGATTGCTCTGTGATTATTGCACCGCCGGCCCTTTTTTGAAAATGGGCGCTACCACTGGTTCTCCCGAGTTGTCTGGGACGGTATTGTTCTCAAAGATGGGGACAAGTACGCTTGTCTTGTTAGTGTTGTCTAAACCTGATCTGTTGGTCACGTTTGTGCGCCGTAGTTACCCTTACCAGTCACCCCGATGGTGTCTTCGGATTAAATCTCGAAAATGACTCAGTGTGTCTTTCTCTGGGGCTATCTCCGTCAGTCCTTATTTTGTTTACCCACTTTTCTAGGTTCTGGAATCATTTTTGTGTGAATGTGAACTGTACCAATGCATACGTTTGCTCTTTAGGGACGATGTGATCTGCTCCGCCACTAATTTCACCTCCGAGCGGATGTGTCCCGTGTTTTCGGTCTCCAACGTAACAGGCGAAAATTTGGATCTGTTGAAAATGTTCCTCAATCTTCTCACCCCACGTTCGCAGCCTCGACTAACCGATCCTGCACATTTCCAAGTCGACGATATCTTCTCTGTGCCGGGTGTCGGTAATGTAGTCTCTGGTACTTGCCTCTCCGGGGTTATTCGTTTGAACGACATTCTTTTACTTGGCCCGGATCCAGTGGGTCAATTCACCCCAGTCCCTGTCAAAAGTATTCATCGGAAACGTATGCCGGTTACTTATGTTCGTGGTGGCCAAACGGCATCTTTTGCGCTGAAGAAGCTTCGCCGGAACCAGCTGCGTAAGGTAGGTTACTCTCACCCTCATAAACACTGCTCTCCGCGAACGTAATTACCACGTGATTATAGTTAACTTTCATCGGGCGAAATAATGTAATCCCTGTATAAAGATAGCTCTTTTTGAGCCGCTATACCAAAACCTTTTGCTTGGTGTTCCACTTATCAAAATTCTTCCAACCATACATCCGTCAGCAAAGACCAGTACTGTAATCTCACCGATTTTCGGCCTGTGAAAAGTCGGCCTAAAGAGTAAAGAACAAACAATAGAGGTAGGTATCCGTTGTCACTGTCCTGTTCAGAATCGCGTCCCACTCGCTTCCAATTAGCTCTTCCATTTCGGTGGTGGTGAACACTTGCATCTTGCTGCTTTCCAAATCAGGCTGAGATAGTCCTCGCTGATTCGTCTTTTTCGTCAACATGGATAACCTTTCCCAGTTTTCCAACCAGACAGACCTAGTTGTTGTTGTTGTGTTTCGAATAACTACAGTTCTTAATACTAAATACCAGAGTTACTGTATCACCATATGATCACGTACTCGAGCCTAACTGAATAAATGTTACCCCAATAGTGTGTCTGAAGCCATACATTTCTTCTCTTTGTCTCTGTCATGTTTTTTCCTCTAAATATCTCTGCAATCAAGACTAATCGTGGTGCTTTTCCAAGGCAGATTTACACCTATGGTAGCGACAGACGTTCTGGTCTGGAGGAGAAACAGGTGCGGTGGAATGGTAATGACATCTCTTCGCTTCCGAGACATGCACGGATGGCCATTGTGAGCATAAATATTCCATGGACTGTTTAATGGACCCATCAACGAACTTACTCTTTTCCTGACCCAAAGCTCCTACCTTGATGTGGTCGTCGGGTCTGAGTGCTTCAATGATCCCGCAGGCGACAGCGACTACTTGGCGTTTGACGGGTTTGCGTGCACCGTCGTACTAGTTGTCTGTTGGTATCGATTTCCTCCCGACCTAAAGGTATCACCATGGTATGGTTGTCGAACTTCTGTGCTTAAGTGATCCTGTGGGTTATACTGGCTGGAACCCAATTCCTGAAGATCAAACCATGACAGGAAGGCCTACGGATGGCAGCCCGACGAACAGAGAGTTCCCATACTGCGAGTAACCGTATTACGAGGCGGTCTGAATGTGAAGTCGTACAGTTTCCTGTGATAGGAGTGTGAAGGCAGTAAGGCGTTTCCCCCAAGCGACAAGCATGTGCATATTAATGGAAGCAGCGTGTGCTGCCTTCCCCCGAGGAAGGACGGGTTAGAAAATGTCGGCCCCAAAAACCGCACACTCCGATCGCCCAACGGTTGACCATGACAGCCGGTGCATCATTCAATACGGTCGAAGTACTCTTAAAACCAGAGTCTGGTGCTACTCAAAAAGCACTTGCTGTGTTCAGCTGCACTAGGAGTGAGACAGTAAAGCCAAAAAAAGCACCTCTTGTTCGCCACTTATACACTCCGCAGGGGATTCATATCCGTAAAAGTTCCTATGCGGTTGACGAGGCTAGCAACTGCTCTCATCTCGTCCAGCGGAATCTTTCAGACATTATTCTTTGGCGCTTGGATGTAATGATATCTGTCACCAATCCCAGCATAATTGCTGTTGTCCAAGGACGAAACGACCTCTAGACTGCAAACTTCTGAATCTCTGTGATAGATTAGATCGATACTCTGTTGAATCAATGGCTTTCTGCACGAGGTCATGTAGGGACAGGCCAGAAGTCGTTGTGCGGAGTTTTCGGAATAACCAATCCGCTCCTTGCCAATAGCTGTTTATAGATCAGCCGATGCTCAATGTGTTGCAAACCCCTAAGTCGATGAACCGTCCGTCGTTAGTGAAATCCCCAAAGTCGCGGATGCGGTACAACGAGTTTGACGTCGGAGGTCGATGGGTAACTCATATTTTCATACTCATAGTAATTTCAGTTTGCCTCAAACACCTATACTCCTTCAGGACCGAACACCAACAACTATTAATGCAGCGGACGAAGTAACTCTGGTGGTTAAAAAACAGAACGCCCTCTCTAGTGCTGTTTAACCAAACACACTAGGTCATTCTAAAATCTCTTCATGTTCAGTTTTAAGTCAGTTAAATCACTCGTTAGTTATGTCTGTCGTAATGCAGTTATCGATATAGGCATTTCGGAAGCTACTTGGTCTCGCTCTTCCTTATTGTCGATGGCGCCGCAGCTATTGGTGCTCATTATTGAGCCGATATGAGGAGTTGCAACAAAAAATACTCTAAGGTCTGAGGATTCTCTGTGTCCTTTTACAGTCGGTGGTGTGAGGTACAATGGCATCCACCGTACTTGTGGCCGCTACTGTAAGGAGCCAACTGTAAAGGATAGTTTCACCCTTGGTCATTCGCTGTTTAAGTTCTATTAGGGCGCCTCTGAATCGGGTTCTGTCTTCTGGTAAGGATTCGTCTCTCAGATGGTGCTTGGGTTTGAACGTTACTAGCTTCTTTTTGAGAGTGAGTCACGACTCTTAGTTGTCTAGCACCATGTTCACGTAGTCATTCAAGTCGTTAAGCAACTTTGATACAAGAAGTTTGACACAGATCACTTCCCGGGTATGGACATGCTTTCAAGACAACGTTGTACTTCGTTTGCGTCCTGGTCCCTCTTTCTCGTTGTCTTTCCTAATATCGGCCCCGTACTATTCGATGGCCTTGTTCTCCTGGTAGCCTTAGAACACTAACTGTACAACTTTTGCTGTATTTCTGCTTTCAGACGAACCTTTGTCGATGTTCAAGGTATACTTTTAAGTCTCGGACTTCGTAGCCATAAACACTGCTTCAGAATTTACGCCTTTGGTCGTACGACACCGATAACAGTCGCTTACGTCAGAATTCGCCTCAGAGTTTATATTCCCCCACTCGTTTTGTACGTCGCATCAAGGTTCTGTGGAATCTGCTTACACGACCGCCGGGCACCGTGTGTCTGATAAACGAGCTGCATCTCCAAGAAGCAGGTGTCGCACGTAAAGTTCAGGTTCCCCCATGGTACATGATATACCTGTTACAGAGATCGTCGTTGACTCCTCAACACTAGGTATGCGTCTATCTATTGTACTCTCTATTCGGCACTGAAGGGCCTTGGATGTCTTGATCACCGTTGTCGTAAGGTTGTACAGGGAGACGGTGTCCTTCGTTGAACCACAGCCGTCCTCTTTTTCGGATCAGTCAGTCGATTACAAGCGATGTACCAAAGTGCAGCAGTTCCAGCTGCTACAGCTGCTTCCTTACTCGAGGATAAGGAGACTACGAGCTGATAGCCTAACCAGTTGATCGAAGCTAACTGGTTCTATCTGTCCAGTATGTCAGGGAGTATGAGAGCTGCCTAGAGAAGGCGACGGCTTCGATGCAAGATCTCCATTAGCACCGTGGCGCAGCCACTTCTATTGGAATCAGTGAACATTGGTTAGTCTCATCCCGGAGATGTGAATTGTTCTAGGGTAAACAATGTAGGCCTAAGCACGAACGGGTGAAACACCCATACAATAACGCACTGACGACGAAACTTTTGCAAATCTGTTGCCAAGCTCCGCGAACAAGCCAACCACTGACTAGTGACTGAAATCGCTTTCGCATTATTCCAGGTGTAGTAGTGACCTTTGAATAGCTGAAACAAAAGTTGTGACTTGAAGGCGGTAACACGGATTCTCGTGAGCCATTGAACACGTGAATGGGTAGTGCTCGCGCCAGTTTCCCTAACAATTCGTGTCCCGTCTCGGAGTCTCCATGCAGGGATAGAGTAACAAGCATCAAATGGTGACTTTCATACTCCGCTCACAAGTCATGTTTGACCTTCCCTGCTTCTACGCCTGGACTGTTGTGCGAAAGAGCTCTTCAAACACGTCGGTACACCGATGTACGAATCACGTGACTAAGCCGGCACAACCTATGGAGTGTCATCGCGTGTTCAAAGTGAATTTCCCCTCTATTCCAGAGATAGCAATATTCCTCTTATCTAGTCTACCGGTAGGGGAATTCGTCAACCGCCTCAATGAGCTGATTTGCAAGCAGCGGTACTTACACTTGGCAAGTGCGAAGTACATACCAAACTGAGGCAGAATCACTTCGGTTGTTTAACATTGTTTGCGTTTTGACGGGTCGGATCCAAGATGGATTGTATCGTCCGCGCACTCCATGTAACGGTAACTGTAACTGCCTAATCTGTACTGCGTTAACAGTTTTGTCACAAAGACTTCGTTATCCACAAGCTTGAACCCGCAGGAGAATGCTCACCCGCACCTCCTCCAACATACCTTAATTGATGAAACGCTTAGTGACTAATAATGATAAGGCCTTGCAAGTTTTTTTTTCGCTTGATAGGGAATCGTCCTCCTTTCACCGGAGCTAAAACCGCGAGCATGTATTGAGTTCATGGCCGAAGTTCTAATTCTCCATCATCCAACCACCATTTGGGTGGGCTACCAGGCCATGGTACATGCTGGACCTGTACGTCAAACAGCGACGATTTTGGCGTTGAGTGGACAAGAAAGGTTGCGTACTGGAGATAAGGATTTGGTTCACTTCCGATTTATGAAGTATCCGGAATATCTATATCCAGGTCTGAGACTGATATTTCGCGAAGGTAAAACAAAAGCAGTTGGTAAGTGCCCAACTATTTTCCACTTTTAGGTATTCTAGCAATGCAGTTTTTCACTTTGCTCAACAAGTTCTCATTTTCCTTGTGCAATGCTTTTGTACACGCAGTGGTTCCTCTGATGGAGGTCGATTCATAGGGAAGGTTCAAGTAGACTTTTCTTCAGGCAATTCAATTTGACTGACAGCTTTGACGAAATTCTATACGCCTCGTCTTCAGGCAATTACGAGTTGAAACATCGAAAGCAGTGGTGTGGTGAAGTGGCCCCAGGGAAGCAAACAGTATCTCATCCCATCACGTCCATCGCTTCTATCAGTTTCGGAAATCGCTGCAATTTGTAAACACAGAACACTGTCTGAGACCTCTTTGCAGAATAGCGTTCAGCACCAGGACCATGGCAATAGTATCAACTACAATGTAACCGAAATGAATTACCCTTGAACTCATGTATCATGCAGCAATTATCAAGATCTGTGCATCATTAAAGTGAGAATTCCAAGCGTCAACATAGTAGATCAAGGGTCACTTAATGATGGTATGCAACAGGTTGATTAAAAGTGTCTTGTACCCAAATTCTAATGCCAATGTTTTTTGGATCACTTATTCAATTTTGTATATTTTCCAGTCTTGGCCTCTGGCTAGCTTTTTTCAGCATACTCGGATGCTAAAGTTTCGAGCGAATCAGATGACTCACTTGCCAAATCAAAACGCATTTTCATCTTGAAATGCTAGCACCCAGTTCCCAGTTTAATCACTGTATTTCTATGAGAACTTTCTGAAAAGTATATCCAGGTAGCAGCTATAAATTATGCAAGTTGAATTTTGGTTCCAGCTTCCGCGGTGTTCATCACCGTCAAGAGTATCGGAGGTATTAAGAGAACCAGCTCCGGACGTAACGGCCAATGTAATAACCGTTTTCGTCGAGACAGATTTCATTGGTTGTTCTTAACTCGCCCTTGACAGATGGGTTGTATTCTTAGTATCACTTCTTTTAGACCCGCTTGTACGCGACAGAGACCAATACATCAGTACGTTCGCACGTTCATTGACTTTTTCTGGTTTGGCCAAGCACACCAGGCTACCAGTCGGCTATCCAGACCGGCGTTCACGGTAATAAGAAGGCATTAAGGAGACTGGTCCACAACAGGTGACATCGGAACCAAATATCAGTGCGGCATACCGTTGACCAGGAAACTCACTTGGAGTCGTATCGTACGGTTGCTATATCGCATCGCTTCCTAGAGTTTGAAAAATGACAATTCCAGTGTCATTTTCAGTCTTTTCATAACCCCTACCTTGCGTTGTGTATGTCATTGTTATTTTACGAAGTATGGCTTGAGAACAATCATGCAGTTTGTCGTTGGGCAACTTTCATTTTTGGTACAAGCTTTGCTCACTGTTTCACTTGCGAAGTGCTATGTTCATGGCAGCTACATTGTTTTGTGGGACTGTATCACAGAGCAACGCTTGAAAGAC